AGAGAGATGCAGCCCAGAGAGCCCGGGAAGGAGGTGGCTGCTGCTGAGGGATGGGGGAAAGGCAGCGGGGAAAACCACAGCAGCAGAGACGCAAGAAACTGCAAGAAGTGAACAAGGTGGCATCCCGCTGAACAACGTGACATGGTGGGATGGATGGTGTCAACGGCGAGGTAACGGCATCTCCATTTCACCACGAAACTCAGCTGGATAAAGGGATGTACCTGCTCCGCAGTCCGTCACCGAACGCTCCCCACCCCAGACCTGCAGACGCTGGGCTTGTGTTCTCGCTGCAGGATTTGACCCGTAGGGTTCAAGGGATCTCTGTTCACAAGCTAAATATGAAAAAAATCCCATGAAGCTGTGCCCTGCGTGCACAGTGCCCACGTGCAGCTGGCAAGGCGTGGGCAGAGCTGGTTTCCACGCCGGCTTGTACATCTCAAAGAAGGGCAACTCTTGGATTTAGGAAAAAAATTACAAATAAATTATTTTCCTGGTGTTTCCAGAGCCAGCAATGAATGTCGCCCTTGTTTAGGCCAACTACGAGCACGATTCATCCTTTATTTACATAAATACTTGGGAATTAATTAAGATCCTCCATCAGGCGTAGGAACGAGGCGGCATTTGCTCGTGCACAGCTGTGGGAAAGCCCGCCACCCGCTCCGAAGCACTCCCCGCAAGGAGAAACAGCAAACGGCCCCTTTTCCTGCAAATCCTCCTCGGGAGCATTCCCGGTTCGGCCGTGGAGCAGATCTCAGCCCAGGGCTGACACTGCTCTTGCCCTGTGCTGTGCTAAACGCTCCCAGCTGCTGCCCACAGCTGCATCGTGTCCGAGCCCAGCAAAAAGGACAAGTGGCAAAGAAAGAGAGTTGGCTGGAGCTAAGGAAAGCCACCTGAAAAACATGTGTGAGTCGAGAAAAAAAAATCAGATCCTTGCTCTTTGCATGTCCCAGCACTGGCGGGGAGGATCTGCATGAGCATGTGCTGGGAGCTCAGAAACATAAAATGGTTTTAGAGAGTGAAGAAAGTGCCACATTGGCTCACCCCGGCGTGGACCCCCCCTGTAAGCTCTGTACCAGGCTCAGGCTTCTTCTGGGGGGTTTCAGAACACCAACAGAGTGCAATGAAAGGGAGCGTTAAAAAATCCACAGCTTTAGGTCTAGATCAACCCCATGTCGTTCCAGCGCTCGGACTGACCTGCTCCACCCAAAATTCTTCCAGGCTTCACGCTCCAGTGACATTGATGGGAGTTTGTCTAAAAAGGGGTTTTTACCTGATGTAAGGCAAGGATTGAGAGTTAGGATAGGAACAGCCGATATTCCTTCAGCCGCTGCCCACTGCTCAGCCCGGTGGGGCAGGCACCACCGCTCCATCCCTGCCTCCCGTGCACCGCGGGCAGCAAATAAATCACACTGCCCGCGACTCCCCGGAGATGGGAGAGACGCAGCAAAGCCACGGAGACCGTTTCCCTTGGGAAACACCTCCTCCCTCCCAACTAAGCACACAAGCCCGTGCTCCAAAGCAATTAAGGACTCGTGGAGCTTTGATTACCATTTTTTCCTTTGTGATGCTGAAGGCAAGCGTTTGGCAGCAGGAGGAGCGGGGAGATTCCAGCATCTAATCCAGCACTTGCTAGTTAAATGCTGGACTGTAATCATGTCCCCAGGCAGAGCCAGAGACGTACAAATGACTTTAGCAGGCTGTTTTCATCCTCCTGCTATTGGCAACCTTACTAAGGCAAAAATGCTGATTTTCATCCTGGATGTTTAATATAAATATATGTGATTCACAGGGAGGCACGGAGAGGGAGACAGCAAGTGAGAGACACACAGTTCTATGATATGCAAAAAAAAAAAAAAAAAAAAGAATTGGCACAGGTTGGGGTGCTCTGGTGCCAGGCAGCACTGCAAAGCGGGGCAGCCAACGCCGAGAGCTTCTCCCTCGATTTGGCTCTTTCTGTGCACACACAGGCTGAAAGTGATGCCTGGGGTGAGATGGGAACGGGAAGCGCCAGCCTCCCCCTCTGCCCACGCGGCAGGCTGCCTGGCCATAGCATGACGGACCGAAAAAATCCGTTCCAGTTATCTCTATCATCTATCCTCATCATCCTCCTCCTCCGGCTGCTCCGCTTCCGATTATCACCTGTAATGAATACAGCACTTGCGGAATAAAGAAAAGCAATTTTCCCTTGTAATTATTTCACCACATTTCCGGAAAGACCAATTACAGCTATTCGGCTTTGCTCGGTCGAGCTGCGCCCGTGTGCGGGGCTCTGTGTGCCGACGAGACCTCAGCCGAGGTACTGGGGGGACACAGGATGGGCTGGTCCGGGGGGGGAGGCTGATCCCCTCCCCCAGTGCCTGTGGCTACATCCCCTGGTGCCTGCTGGAAATGCCAAGGGGCATTTAGTGAAAAGGGACATTATCCCACTAAAAACTGGACTATGGGCATCCGAGGAGGTGGCGATACAATGACATCCAAAGGCCAACAGCCCTCCAGTGAGCAAGAAGAGAGAAACATCTCAGTAGTGTCCGAGACCCCCTCAGCCCCATGACCAGGGAAACCAGGGAGGGATCAGCATCGCCCTAACACATCCATCTCCTACAAATGCACCTTCCACCGCTCCCGACTGGAGGGATCGTTAAACTCCAATCCTTTCCCCAGCCCTTCCAGCAGGTCTAACCCAGCTGCAGGGGACAAGGGACTGCGGAGGGAGATGGACGCAGCCGTGAGCCCGGAGGAACGATGCCTCATAATGAAGCCACGGCACAGACCACGATGCGCGTGTTTTGGCTTGTTACGCGCCAGCGCACTAACGAGCGTGTCTCCAGCAGACGGGACCCAGGAGCACAATGCCTCACAAAGACACAGATTTCTAATTAACAAAGTATTTTGGGGTAACTCTGCGGCTCTGGACTGGGAGATCTCCACGACAGGCTCCACCAACACCCGCTGGGGTGCTGCAATCCCTCGTTATCAACAGGGAAGCAGGGGTAGGGCCAAAACACTCGTTACAAGGTCAGGATTCACCATGCAGGAGACTGGTCGTCGCTGTGGAAGGAATGACCCATCACCAATAACACACACGCGAGATCAGGAGCATCCCTAGCCAGGTAACCGCCAGCACAGTTGAGTGGAAAATCTCAAGCACAGGGACGACAAGGCAGCTGCTCTCCCCATTCTCTGTATATTCTCTAGATTATGGCATTTAGACCTCAGCAAAAGGTTGACTTCAATTTCTAGCAAAGCTCACAGCCACCTCCTCAACGAGCATCTAAACCAGAAATCCAGGAAAATCCCATCCTGCAAACCATCGCCGGGGCAGAGCCCGCAGCCAGCGCCGTGTGTTCGCAGCCCCGGGGTCACTGCCATGCCGTCGGGACTCGTTCACAGCTGAAACCTCACCCCGCTATTAAAGCCACGAAAAACCTCAGCTATTTCCCAGCTCGTCCGAGGGAAGGGGAGCGTTATGGCAGGCTTGTAAGATAAAGCCTCACAGATCGCTGGCACATGGATGCTGATAATTAAGAACAGGGATTGGTAATAAAAGAGAGAGTGGCACAAAGCATCGCTTTAAATTTTCCCATTTTCAAGAATTTCTTGTCTTTGGGGCTCTAAAGAGCTCCCCACACCCACATCAGTGTAGCTTTAATAACAGCCTGATGGGATGACAAGGGGCGTGCATTTCCTACTCTAATTAAGAAAAGAAACCACGCGGGTAGCCAAGCTCCGGGTCATTATCCAGCTCTGTGTGCTGAGCCCGCGGGGTACGGCCTCGCCACATGCAGCCCCAACAGCCTCCCTCCATTTATGGGAAAGAACAAATTTTAGTCGTCAATGCACCTTAAAACCACTCAAAAGTCCCGTTACCACAGCTAACGAAACGGAGGCGTTCCTCCACGTTTGGGTCTCTAAGGACAACAGGGTCCAAGGGGTGCTGAGCCACATCTCCAGGAGACAGGGTCCTAAGCCCATCTGGCTATCTTTATTCCCTTGCGTCTCTTTTCCTCTTGTGTCCATTTTCTCCCCCCTTCTTCTCTTTTCAGACTAAGTTTTTTTCACAGGATTAGTCTCCACTATGGCTACAAACAGCATCTGCTCCAGCAGGAACCCAAACTCTCTTGGGACCACGAGCCGGCACCTGGATACAAATCCTGACTCAGCCAGATTGCGGCTTCTTTTGTATTTCTCATTTCCTTAAACAAAAATAATAAATAGATAACGCAGAACACCACGGAAAACAAGGAGCCCTTTCCATTCCCATCAGCGTCATCCACAGGTTTTTTGTCTCTGCGGATCCAGGATGCTGGCAGCCGGGATGCTTTGCTGAGGACCCGGGTGAGGAGGGGACTGGCATCATTTACTCCATATTTTTAATCCAACAGTTCCAACACAGAATAGAATCATAGAATAGTTTGAGTTGGAAGGGACCGTGGAGGTCATCTACTCCAACCCCCCTGCAGTCAACAGGGACATCTTCCACATGCTGCAAGCCACGGTGTGCATGGTGACACGTGCCTGTACATTAATTACCAGCTAATTAGGACATCTCAGAGCAGTTTGTCTCCTGCTCTCCCGTGCCCAGCATGGGGATGTTTGGAGGACGGATGGTTCAGGTTTTCCAGCCCGTTCCTCCTCCCCAGGCACTACTGCGCTGCTCTTCTCTACAACTGGGATGCAACAGGGAAGGGAAAATAGCAAAGGGGGAAAAACGCCTGGGGGTGAGCATGAAGCAGCCTGATAACACGCCGTGCTTGAGCCAGGACCGCCCGGCTCCCTTGCAGCCCTGGCCAACAGCTTCCAGCCCTTTCCTCCATTGTGGTGGATTTATTCCTCCAGTGGCTGCGGGTGTGCGACAGGCAGCTCCCACCAACACCCACGGTTCCACAGCACGGCCAAAAGCATCGTGGAAAAATCCCCTTCCCAAAGCCGCGGGTGGCCCCGAGGACCAGGGAGGGGACAGTGACCCACTGGGGTGACAGGGGTTTTGAAAGCCGACTCACCAGGACTGCGGCTTCCTCTTCATGATGCCCTGGCGTCTCCACTGCGAGTGCGGGCTGAGGTGGTAGGTGAGCTGCCGGCAAAGCTTCTCCATGGCCCCCAGGGAGTCCCCCTCCTGCGAAGACAAGGGAGGGACGCCAGGTGAGGTGGCTGCAGCGTTACCATGGTGCCCGTGGGATGCTCCGACTCCGGAGCGGCTCCCTGCTAGGAGCTTGCAAGTCATAAGGGACGGCACTAAAAATTGTATAGGAAGGGGGAAAAAGAAACCCCACTGGCTGCTAAGATGCTGCAAGGATGGGGTGTTTCACCAAGGGCCACCCCACCCTGAACACCCATGGACGTCCTGCTGGGGGAAGGATGACGAGGTCCCTTCTCGGCTGCGGTGCTGGGGCTCAGGGGCTCCGCACGGCGGGGGCGTCACTTTGCAATTCATGCCGCAGCCGCTGCGTTATCATCTGATGCTACATAATAGCTTTGAGCGCTGAAGTTTTACAGCAATGGATTAAATAAACCAAACAGCCCATCCATTATCACCAAAACTGCTCTACAGAAGGGCTTTGTGAGGTGATGGAGATGTCAGCAACAGCAGTCATCATAAACTCTCAAAATACGTATTTATTAGGGGAAAAAAAGGGTTCAAGGAAAACAGGATTTTGGCAGACACAAAAAAGGATAGTGGGCAGTTTTCCGGAGAAGACGTGCGTCGCAGAGCACATTTATGCAGCACCCTGGCTCTCAGCAAAAATCCCGGAGCCCACAAAGAGCAAATTCAGCTGGTGCAAGCATCAGCTCAGAGAAGCAGTTTTGGGGCAACATCTTGGCTCCTACTCCATCGTGCCCATCAGATTGATGGATGTCCATCCAACAGATGCCCATCACACCCATCAGATGCGATGCTGAGCACGGGATGGAGGAGGAACGAGGGGAAAGCTGCGAGCAGAGGCTCTTCCCTGCAAAGGGCCCCTTTCCCCGTTGTTCCTCCTCCGCCTTCGCCTGCCTCCAGCCCTCTGGAGAAAGAGAAGGCTGCTTGCTGCTGGGAGGAGCCCGGAGATTCATGAGATTTTAATCCCTTAAACAGATTTCAGCTGAGAGAGGGATTCATGGCACATGCCCCCCCCAACCAGCCCCGCGCCAACGGGATCTGGTTCAACTGGAAAACAAGGGAGAGCAGCACAATCCGGGGCAGGGGGGCTGCCCAAGGCAGGGGGGCTGCCCCAGGCACGTGCTGGGGACCACCAGCTCCCAACTCTGGCTCCAGTCCCGAGGGAAGAGCTCTGGATAAAGGGATGGAGCAACAGCCCTTGAAATGGGACGCAGTTAAACCCCAGGGATAAACGAGAGCAAGTGAAGGCTGGGAGCCAGGCTGACCCTGTTGTGTCCTGCTAAACCTGTCCTGGGTTCTGCGGGGGGATCTTTATCCTCAGTGACGGTCTCACCTGCGGCATAGGAGAGAAATCATCCCGCCTCTGCCAGTGCCCCACGACAGATCCCGTCGGTGAGGCATCACCCGGCATCTGCACACCACGTTCAGCCCCAGAGCAGCCGTCCTTGGACATGCTCCTCGCCGCTCTGCCGGCGGAGGGAGGGGGGTAATTGGAAACAGAAGGATGACACCATGGGAAAGCAAACACGGGATGAACAGGACCATGGTTTTGCTGGGGATAAATAACCCCAGCGTTCACCGCCTGCCCTCCTGGCATCACCGTGTGGCAATGACACCCCGGCGATGCGAGGAGGAGAGAGTTGTAGTCACAACCCAAATTTCAGGGCTGATCCAAAAGAAGCAGCCGGAGAGCTCGGAGGAGGACACGAAGCATATGAAAGCCTTATGATAAAGATGTTATTGCAAATTAATTTGTTTTCATTAAGAAATGAATCACCCGCTCCTCCCCCAGCAGCAGAACCCCCGGTGCTGAGCAGAGCCCTGGGGGAGGTTGCACGGGGGCCAAACTTTGTGTAAAATAGGCCAACATCAATGATTAAAGAGCCCCAGTACAGA